ATTATTATGTTTTTATATATCATATCAACCTACTTTTTTATCTTCGTATAGTAACAATAAAATTTATTAATTTACACAACAAATATAGATATTTCAAATTTTGTAATATTATTATACCTTACAAAATACAACTTCTTCCAAAATAAATTTTCGTCGGTAATTTCATCCATAATTTCAACAAATTTAAATTTGTATTTTCTTTATATAAATTTTTTTTAATGATCCTGATTTTTTTTCTCCAAAAGTATATCAAACATTTACGTTTTGGATAATACTGCGCTATTATAATTATTATTTTCCAAAAGTATATCCGTTTAATGAGGAATTTGATATAATAAAGGAAGTGAATGTTAATTAAAATGAGATATATATTTTATAATTATTACATGAGTTTATTAAAAAAATTAATATCAAGGTGTAAACATTAAACATTTTTAAAGTGAAATTTCAGAATACATACAAACGATAATGTTGTACAATGAAATATAAAATTGAATAGACTGAAAAAAAAAAAAAAAAAAAAAAAAAAAAAAAAACACTATTAAAGCAATCAATCTTGAAAATAACATATTTATGAAAAATTATAAAGTAAGATTAAAATTATAAGATATTAAGGGATTTGTAAAAAGTACATTTAGTAAAAGCGTTACGGTTATTAGAAAAAATAAGACCGTTAAGATTAGTGAAAATACAATATATAAACTAAATTATCACAATAGTAATGAAATGTCATTATTTGATATTTCATATAATTGACAGATATATCAAATTAAATTGATATACTAAAATTATTCAAAGTTGTGCCAAAACTAATGCAAAATTTTTGCGAACACTAAATAAATAAGAACAAACATAAAAGCTAGCATTTATATTTATAATCAATTTAAAATATACCAATCATGATTTAGAAAAGAATCTCCATTGATGATATACTAAAATTAAATCTATATAACATTTAACATTTTATAAATTATATTACATAACTTTATTTGAATAAATGAAATAGTTTTTAATATTTAATGTAATAGAAAAACGGTATATTGATTGTCAATATATGTTTAATTTAGGTAACATTATTATGCAATGAACGTCTAATTAAAATGTTTATAATTATATAAATATCATAACTATATAAGACGAGGAAAATCGTTCAACTAATAAAACAAAAAATGATGTCTATAAATAGATCTTTCAATGATTATATATATTTATCGTTTTCAATGTATTTTCTACATATTTCAATAATACCAATAACCATATATATTTTTTATAATCATTATACAATATTTATAAACGATTATATGTTTTTTATGCGTTTCTCGCGTTTAACGCGGGGTATAATCTAGTTAATTACAAAGTATATCTTTTACTTTTTCATAAATTCAACTAGCAATTTAAGCTGGTGAAATCATTCTCAAAAATCATTTGATATATTTATACGCTAATAACTCGTATAAATTTGACCGAATTTGAGACCAAATATCTTGATTATATATGTTATAACAAACCATTGAATCAAATTTGATCCTCGCATATAGGGCTGTAAACGAACCAAACGAACACGAACAAGGTCTTGTTCATGTTCGTTCGTTTAAGTTAGCCGAACAACAAACGAACACGAACGGATAAACGAACGAGATTTTCTTGTTCATGTTCGTTCGTTTAACAAATTACTTTGTTCATGTTCGTTCATTTATGTTCGTGAACATGCTAAACGAACATAAATGAACAAACATAAACGAACAAAGACCAAAAAAACACAATTAAACACATATGAACACAAACGAACATATAATATAGCAATATAATAAAAAATAATTGAATATAGATGAATATAAATAAACTTAAACAAACGAACATAAACGAACGTAAATAAACATCATAAACGAACGTTCACGAACATAAACGAACGAACGAGACCATTGTTCATGTTCGTTTATTTAACTAAACGAACGATAATTTTTGTTCATGTTCGTTCATTTATTAAATAAACAAACTTCCCGTCGAACGTTCAGTTCGTTTACAGCCCTACTCGCATACAATTGAATAAGATTACCTTTATTAATATATTATTTATTTGAATCAACTGGTATTGGATTACCTTTATTAATATATTGTTTGTGATCCATTCAACCCACTTTCCACATCATTTAATTAAATTAAAAAAATAAATAAATAAATAAATAAAATATAGCATTTTTTTATTTAAAAATAAATATTTGCTAATTTAGAAACAAAAAAATCTAAAATAATATTAAAAACAATATTAATTAAAAAACCACACTACAAATAGAAAAAAAATACACGATAATTAAAAAATACTTCAAAAAAACAAAATAATTAAGATCCTAAAACGATAATTAAAATTAACTAGTTATCCAAATTTGAAATGTAGACATGTTCAATGTGATCGATAAAATTAGATCGAAATCGGTGGTGGGTTTCATCATTGTGCAATTCATGTATAATTTCTGGGTCTTCGACTTCGTCATTGGGGAGTCGAGCTGATGAACAGGAGATATCGCAGCACCCTCGGTTTTCAGTATCATATTGTGCAGTATAATACAAGCATACATTATGTTTTGTGTTTTCTTCACCGTCATAGCTCGTGCCGGCATCTTTAATATGTCCTAACGTCCTTTAAGGACCCCAAACGCACGTTCTACGTCCTTTCTTGCTGATTCTTGTGCCGCCTTGAACCGTTTCTTTTTGTACGTTATTGGATGTGGATATGCCTTCACGAATACATCCCATGTTGGATATATTCCATCGGCAAGATAGTAAACATGCTTGTAGTGTTCACCATTCATATCAAATGAGCAATCGGGTCCTGTTCCATGATATTTCTCATCGAACAATGGTGATTGATAGAGGACGTTCAAATCATTGTTCGAACCAGCTACACCATAGAATGCATGTCAAAACCATAAATCTTGTGATGTCACTGTTTCTAGTATCATTGTTGGATACTGATGGTCACCCCTCATGTATTGGCCTCTTAGTTTAGTTGGACAATTCCTCCAATTCCAATGTGTGCAGTAAATGCTACCAAACATTTCAGGGAATCCATGTCTAGCTTCATGTCCTTCATACAATTTTTGAATGTCAGTGGATGTTGGACAGCGTAAACATTCAGCCTTATACATTTGGACAATACCATAACAAAAGTTTTATAGAGCTTCACGAGAAGTTCTTTCTTATATATTTAAATACTCATCTAATGAGTCTGGGTTATAACCCTTCGCTAATTGATGTATTGTTGAGGTGCATTTTTTTAGCCCACTGGAACTTCTCTGGTTTGTTACATCCCATGTTGTTTGAAAATATGGATAATTCATATCTAGGTCACCAACAAGTTGCATAAACAAACCTTTGCTCATACGAAACCTTCTGCGGAATAGATCATGACCATATGTTGAATCATCCGCAAATTAATGTCGGATCAGTAGTTGTTCAGCCTCTAAACGATCTATTTGGATTGTGTTTCTCCTTTGATTGTTACTTGAGCTAACATTATTCTAGAGAAGAAGTTGTGCCGTACGAGATAATGCAGGTAACAAATTATTGTTGATAAGTTCATCCTCATAAGATGAACTATCGTTGTTACCATCCATTACTATTTTGCGAATGTTTGGATTCATTTTGAAAGAGAGAGAAATGATAGAGAGAAAATGAAACAAACATGTATAGAGAGATAATGAAACAATCATATATATATATATATATATATATATATATATATATATATATATATATATATATATATATATATATATATATATATATATATATATATATATATATATATATATATATATAGTGAAACAAGAGAATCTTAATAAAAAGAAAACAGGAAAAGAAAAAGAAAAATAATCATAAAAAAGAAAAAGATTCTCAGTCAAATGATGTCGACATTCCGAACTTCACGGGTTCTACAACTCCCAACCATATCTAGTTGCAATTTCTCATCTCCTTTCAAGAACCGTGCTCAAAATAGCTCCAATCAAATGATCATACGGTCGTATAAAATACTCCATATTTTGGTTCTTTATCTCTCGCTCCAACAATTGAGCTTTCAGTGCTTCATTAGCTTCGAAAATGCGTAATTTTTGTTCCCGGTACCGTTGTCTTTGTCCCGCCTCTGTGTTGGTTGTAGTGTTGATGCAGGCAATATGGTTGACAAGATCAAACATTTCATTTGTGTTGACGATACTAATGCCGCTTTTTTCCTTTTCTTTTTCTCTGAGGCGGTGAGCCTTCAACATTAAAAGGTTGTTGTTGTTAGGGGAATTTGGGAGGATACCGTGCATCGGAAGATGTTGTATGGGCGTTAGATGAAGATGTTTTAGTTCGTTTTGAAGAAGGAGGCGGGGAGTCTTCACCAGCTTTTGTAACCAACGCCCATTTCGCATGGTCTTTCAACCACTCCCAAGCTTTTTGATGCGGAAAGGATTTTTGAATAATAATACTCCGATACTCGCTTAGTGAGGTTTTTAAAACATCATCCTCAAATCTCCCGCTAGCCACACTGTTCATCCTACGCTCATAGATGCAGTTGAAAGCGTTACATTTCTTTTGCAGGTCTTTCCATTTTGAGTTTACTTGGTGTCGTGTCCGATCCGAACCTCCAATCTAAACATTAAAATGCTCTAGAACCCGATCCCAAAATGCATTGAACTGTTGTTGGTTTCCACGTTGTTTATTTTGAGAACAATCGACATATGCCCTAGCCAAAGCCAACTCTTCGCATTCCACCCATTTCTTTGACTTCTGACGGTTTGCAAAGGTGCGTTTTTTCTCAACAACAAGTCGCAACTCCTCACTAGTTTCTTCTTCATTTCTTTCGGGAACCGGATCGTCACTAGAACTCTCAAATTCTACGTTCTGAGAATCCTGGAACTAGAAATGCTCGGGTTGGGAAGATTGGAATTGAGTTTCTGAAACCCTTTGAGAAAACTGATTACATGGATAATAACTCAGGTTTTCCTCTGAAAGCGTAAATGTGTTGTAAGATTGTTGCACCGGGTAATATTGTTGTGGATAGCTTTGGTTTTGTTGGTAGTTTTGGTTTTGTTGGTAAATTTGGTATTGTTGATAGTTTGGATTTGGGTTATGAAAGGTTGGAGAAGAAAATTGAATATTTTGACTTGAACCGTCTTGCGTGGATTTGCGTCTTTGGTTAAAACCGGTTTGTTTACCTTTGCCTCGGGAATCCATTGAAGGTTACTACATGAATTGAACAAACTTGTAAAATATTTCCAAACAAATCACACTACAAATAACACTACAAACAAGTAAATTTTGCATTCATCGTAAACTTATAAAAAGAAAGCAAAAAAATAGATAAATAAATAAAATAAATACTCACGGGTGGTTGGTGAATATTGTTCAAAAATACTCACATGCAATAAAAATAAATTAAAGTTTTGACAAGAATCTTTCCATACAGTGATTGCATGCATGCATGAATAGTCAAAGAATAGTTGAATGGTCAAGGAAAATTGAATGCATTAACTCACATGTTGGTGAACCCTATAGAAACAAACAACTCATCCAACCCGCTAAACCTAATTAAAAGGAAGTTGTTTGTCGGCGGTACTGGCAGTACCGCCCTAACCCATTTCTAAATTTTGAAACGACTCCGTGTGGCCTTACACGTACCAAGCAGATGACATTATATGATAACTAGGGAATCACCTATTTTTACGGGGTTGGATGGTATTTCATTGTAAAATGGTTATTAAGATTGTTAGTTACTATTACTGTATAGATCACTTTGGTATATATGATGCAATAAATTTTGAGGCTAAATGTCCCGATGACACACTCCAATCCTACCATCAACACGGTCAATAATCTTAATATAAAAATTATAGTTATGAGCTTAGACAATTAATTCAATAATGTAGACAAATATTAGGAGTATATAATATTTTTAGAAAATTTTAATATAAAAATTACCGTTAAGCGATAAAATTATATTAAAAATAAAATATTATTTAGGATAAATACTCTAAACGAAAGTAGTAGAAACCATAACGACGAGCATGTGTTTATAAATAACACTTAAATATGACTTCATATAAAGAAATTACGATTTTTCAAAGTTTAGCAGGTGAACTTGAAGTGATATATAGCTTTAGCATTTACATACACGGTGCGAATTTCGTCCAATTTGGAGACTGCATCAATCTACTCGAAAAGTTCACACGCCACCCTAAATTGAAAAATACGATGTTTACCCCCTACAAATCTCGAATGGCTGAAATAACATTGCAAATGATCAAAAAATAATATATAGTTTTAGCATTTACGTACATTGTGCGAATTCCGTCCAATTCGGAGTCTGCATCTACATACTCTGTAATTATGTCATTTAATTTACTGTTACAATTTGGTATTTAATGGCATCAAATATGATTTACAGTATAAATAGAGCATATCATTCACAGTTTAGATTACATCGAATTAATAAAAAACAATATCCGCTTTCTCGCTTTCTCTCTTACGCTTCTCCTCCTTTTTCCATCATTTGCTATAGTCTAGAAGAATTACTTTCCACCGTTGTATCATGGGAAACAAATACACACATATCAAACTAATTTGTTTTAAAGAAACCGTGTCAAACACATGGCCTAATAACAAATTATTGTTTGTGCTTTTGGCAGGTCTAAGGTTATATTTTTCCTAACAAAAATGATAGTGGTTACTTGAAAAATGACAAATATTATCAATTACATTTGAAGACTAAACTTAAGTATCATACTATTAAATAAATAGTATAATCTTGATTTTTCGGCTACAATGTACTTATAATGTACTTATAATGTTATTTTGAATTATCTTATGAAAATAACTAACAACAAATATATGCTTAATATTATATATATTTTTAAAAACTTTAATGTTGTTTTGCCTTTTTCACTATACACTTTTTAGAGTTTTAATGTTTTTTATGTTTTCATTATATTTAAATGTCTATTTCATCATACAAACTCATTATTTTATCAAATAATTTATTATATATTAAAATATTAATAAAATACAACATTAAAAAGGAAACGATACATATCAAATTTGTCAATATTTTCTAATCTTAATAACTTATGATTAGGATTGTTATGACTAAAACTGAGTTCACATAAAATTGTATTTGGAATAATTGGATTAGTATCTAATCCCGCTTATCATTAAGACATAGGATATATAATTTTTTAATTAATTATTAACATATTAAATATTAAAAAATAAAATAAAAAAGAACTAAAAAGTGAGTCTTAGAAGTGAGCGGGACTTCTCAATTGAGTGTTTTCTATCGTTTTTGCCCTTTTGCCCTTTTGCCCTAGCCTCCCTCACGCTCTGCCTCTGCTAAACGCTCACCTGAAAGCATCCAGCATCCAACTCCGACCGGCGAGACGACGACCACCACACCATTTCCGGCAGCGAGTCTGCGACAGCATTTCCGGCTACGAGTTTGCGACACCTCTCCGGCTACAACGCAGACGTCTCCGTCTTCGGCTGTCACAAACCCCGACTCCGGCTATCACATCTCTGATTCTGAACATTCACTTCTCAACCTGTTACTCTGTTAAATGTAAGTTCCGATTTCAAATGATATTGTTTGTATTAGATGGATTCATTGAATGTTTGTGGAGTAACTCCCTTTATACCATTGCAACTTAGAATGATAGAATCTGTGCAGTTAGAGTTCCTGTCTGTCTACCGATCTATAATTAAAAGATTGGAGGCAAAGTCATTGTTTGCGTTTTTTTTCCCTCTTTGTAGTATACTGATGTATATGTTGTGTTTCTTTGTTCAGCTTGGGAGTCATTGAAGGGATAATTGATCTCGGCCCGGCCCACTGTAGAATCCGGATCTAATATCCAACCCAAAACGAAAACCTTTGATCAGGCACGCGCTATAAAGCCATAAACCCTCATCGTCCCTCCCATTTTTCATTCGAAATTTCAATTTGATTTATAGGAAGAGAGAAGGATCAACAATGTCGGGCTTCTCCTTCTCTACCAGTTTATCAACCTCCTCATCATCTTCATCCCCATCACCGTTTTCATTTGCATCGTCTTCATCTCCATCTCCGTTCTCATTCTCAAACCCTGCCTCATCCCCTTCGCTATTTGGTTCATCTACATCCTCTAATCCGACATTCGGAGCGCCTTCATCGTCAACTCCTTCGTTTGGGTTTTCGTTTGCATCTTCGTCATCTTCTACGCCGTCTTCCGCTGCACCCTCCGCCTCCGCCCCATCACCAACTTTTGGTTTCGGGGCTTCCTCTGCTGCTGCTACCGGCTCTACACTGTTCGGTACATCGTCTCCTGCCGGGGCATCACCGTTTGGTGGATCTGGTTTGTTTGGATTAAGCTCTAGTTCTAGTGGCACTACCACCACCGCTACAAGTTTGTTCGGTTCTACTTCTACTTTTGGATCCGGTAGCATATTTGGGGCTTCTTCAGCTTCAGCTTCGAGCACAACTACACCTACTGCGGTTAGTTCGCCTTTTTCTACAGGCTTATTTGGATCATCATCTACCTCTGGAACATCAACTCCAACGTTTTCTTCAGCGTCATCTGGGGCTGCATCATCATCATCAGCCCCATCTTTACCTAATTTATTTGGCTCAGCTTCTTCATCAGCAGCCCCTTCTTTTTCTAATTTTGGTGCATCACCATCTAGCAGCTCAATGTCAAGTTCAATTACAACACCACCGGCTTCATCTGCAGCACCAGGGTTTTCGTTCCTCAACGCTTCGAGCTCCAGCTCAGTCACTTCTTCCGCTGCTTCTGCTCCAGGTTTCTCATTCCCAAGTGCAACCACCTCTGCACCCTCGTTTTCGTTTGCCTCCAGTTCAGCCGCGCCATCTAATACCACTTCTTCTGCTGGTTCATCGTCAAGCCCCACCTCTAGCTTCTCTTTTGCGAATGTAACAGCCTCTTCTGCGGCTCAATCATCTTCGGGGCTGGCTTTAAATACAAAAACTGCTTCTACGACAGTAGCTACAACGACTACTTCTAGTGCTTCCACATCTGCCAGTAGCGCTCTGTCGTTCCCTTCATTTGTTACATCTTCATCTAGTGCTACACCAGCTACTGGATCTGTTCCCAGTTTCGCAAGCCCTGCCATTGGTGCTTCTTCTTCCGGAACTTCAAGCTCTTTTTTGGGATTTCAAACTTCCTCCAAGACTACAGCTGCTACTACCCCATCTTCCCAACCGCAATCTACAGCTGCTTCATCTTTGTTTAGTGAGTTTGTTAGTATAATTATCTTTAGTTTCTGGTTTGAAGTTAATGGACAGTATTGAATCGTTGCATGTGAGTTCATATAATAACGATTTGTACGTTATATCTTTAGCCATTGTTTTGTTGTTGTTTTTTTTTTTTTTTTTCCATAGTGGTTATTGTGATTTGAACAATCAGAAGTAGCCACTGAGATAATCAGGTGCTTGCTTAAGGATAATTTAGGTATTTAGTATTTGTCAACTTGTTACCCATTTTATGTGCTTAACCAAGTCTGATCATTTTGATTCTAAGTTATAAGAAACCTTCAAAACTGGTTATTGTTACTCTATAGACATCCCTTTAGATAGTGTCGAGCTCATAGTAGCATTGATGAACAAATTGAATCTAACTTGTTTATTTCCACATTTGATAGGTGTGTCTCTCCTTAAAAAAATTGAATGATTTTATTTTTAGGCCATAATATATATATATATATATATATATATATATATATATATATATATATATATATATATATATTCTGTATTGTATTAACTCTTTTGTTGTTTGTGTCTGAAGGTATTCCTGCAGCCACAACAACCACTTCAACCATTACAACCACTACTGCTCAAACATCATCCTCACTTGTTGTAGCTTCCAGTAGCGGGTCAGTCGTCACTCATCACCACAGTATCTCAAAATATATAATTTTTTTTATTCAAGACCATAAAGTTCATCTTTATCATACTATCCTAGAAAAATAAGATTTTAAAAATAAATAAATAAATAAATAAATGTGATTGTCTGCAGGACAAGTTCGAGTGTGAGCACAGCTGTTGTCCCTGCACCAAAGTTACCATCTGAAATTACTGGAAAGACTGTTGAGGAGGTACAAATTTCTTTATCTTAATTTCCTTGATTGCTATTCTGGCTAAAAAACAAACTTCTATAATTATAAATATAATGGTAGATAAACAGCCTATAATATTAATGTTAGAAAGATGTAAGTAATAGGTTGCTGTATCATGACATTTATTTTGGGTTGGGTTTCTTGTTTTGTTTGAAGATCATCAAGGAGTGGAATGTGGAGCTCCAGGAAAGAACCGGAAAGTTCCGGAAGCAAGCTAATGCAATTGCTGACTGGGACAGGAGAATCTTGCACAACCGGGATGTTCTTCTTAAACTTGAGGTCACTTTTTTATTCTTAAACTTAAACTCAAGAGTGGAAATGAAAAAAATAGCACTTATTTTATTTATTTTTTGATTTTGTTTATAAACAAAACAAACAGGCAGAAGTCGCTAAAGTTGTTGAGACCCAATCAAACCTTGAGCGCCAGCTGGAACTTATCGAGACTCATCAGCAAGAGGTATTTTGAATATTATGATACCGAGTGAGGGAGGGGTAGTAGTTGTAAGTTGGTATTTTAATAATAATAATACTAATTAAATAAATTGTTGTTGTTAGGTTGACAAGTCATTACAAAGTGTGGAAGAAGAAGCTGAGCGAATATACAAAGATGAACACGGCCTACTTCTTGATGATGAAGCAGCTTCAACCAGAGATGCAATGTAAGTTTCTGGAGTCGAGGGCATTTACGTCTTTTGCACATTACAAACAAGGCGCTTGTTAATAGTCTCATCTGGTAAATTTCAGGTATGAGCAGGCTGAATTCATAGAGAGAGAAATGGAACAGATGACTGAACAAATAAAGTCGGTTATTCAGACTCTTAATGCCAATCAGGTTATTTTTATTTTTTTATTTGGCAATGCAAAAAGCAGCTTTGAAAAGTAAAAAAAAAAAAAAAAAGATTAATTTGAATATGTTTAATAGGCGGGAGAAGTTGAAGCAAGTGATGGTATGGGTATGGCCCCGCTGGATGTGGTGGTTCGGATCCTTAACAATCAACTAAGTTCATTAATGTGGATCGACGAAAAGGTTGTATTTATATTTTTCATTTTGTAATTTACAAAAATAACAACTTATTTTGAAAATCAGAAAAATAACATAACTAAAATTATTTTATAAATAATATAAACAGGCTGAAGAATTCTCTTCGCGTATTCAAAAGCTGGCCAAGCAAGGATCTGCTGCTGACCGGGAACTCATGGCCCCAAAATTTTGGCTGTCTCGCTGAATCTCTTACTGTTCTTGTTCTTTCTCTCTGCTCCTTGCTTAACAGTAAAAAAAATTTATTACTCCTATTAAGAAATTTGGATGTGTGAAAACAATAACCCGATTATTGTGAACATGCTATTGCTAATATTACTTTTTACATCATCAACTTCACTAGTTTTTATATTCATTCATTCCTTAATGTTTTATCTCGAATGGATTTGAGTCATAGTTTGTTCATCTTTAACATGTTAAATGGTGATCCGTTTTTTGTTTAGAAAATAGGTCATGTGTCAATTATATGTTAGGGAAAAAATATCATAAATGATCCTTGTGGTTACCTAAAATCTGAAGTTTAGTACCCGTGGTTTAAAAACCTCTCCTTGTGTTTTCAAAACTTTTGCTAACATTTTCAAAATCTGAAAGATTGTGTGAACATTTTCAAATATGGTGAATTGACATCAATATCTAGATTATTGGAATATTTCAAGGAACAATCTCAAATCATGACACCAATACGTAGGCGTGGTCGGTTTTGGAGTGAAACCAAACCCAAACCGTTAATTTTTTCGGTTTTTTATTTTGAAACCCATCGGGTTTGGTTTTTGAACATGTCCAATTTTTCGGTTCATGGGTTGGTCTCTTTAGTTTTTGGGTTCAACACATGGGCTGATGTGTTTTGATTTAAACTGATTTTACAACAATTCTAAATAAAATGGAACAAATTCAGTGTGTTGTTATCTTCTTTGCGTGTAGACTCATGAGCCTTTGTCTTGCTTATGTCTAATTTACGGATCAACTAGACGATTTATTGACTTTGGGATATGATTCATGTTTTCATGATGTACTTGTGACCGTGCCTGTGAGAGGCTTAGAGAATGAGATAAGAGCAGCATTAGTAATGAAACACTAGGGTTTTTAACTTTTCTATATTTATTGTTTTAATAAAACATATAACATTTATTAAAAATATATTATCAAATAACTAATAGTATGTATATCAGCCTATCAAGAATATATGAACTTTTATAGAAAATTTAGTGTTGCACGCCATGCTCGATGCACACGTCTAACACCCGAACTCGTCGAGATTGGAGAGACGTGGACCATCAGAAGCGTGACACGTGGCAATGTTGTGTTAGTGAGTTGTTATTATTCATCCACTAGTTTTGATTGAATTCGGCTACTCCGAACCTACAATCGTTAATCTTACAAATGTCAGAAAGATATGTATAGATTTATACGGAGTTTGACACCCCCAACGCGATTGCTAGCTACAATCCCAACATGATAACGTCCGATGAAGCATCGTACGGGGGAAATTATATTCTACAACGTTGATTACGGGGACTAATGGTAATACATCCTGAAAGCCTTAGAGATTTAGCTACCTAGAGGGACACCTTCGAGTAGTTAATATAATAGATCAGGATCGATAAAATATCTTATAAAGATATTAAGATATGATTGATAAAATATTTCATAAAGATACTAAGATATGATTGATAAAATGTCTTATAAAAATAGTAAGATAAGATTAATAAAATAACCTAAAAATGTATTATAAATTAGGAAAAATGATACAGAACCTTGAAGGACACTATTCAAAAAACCTCTAAAGATTCAAGATACAAGGAACTTTAGAAGATACAACAAAGTAAAATTTAAAAAATAGGGAATATAAATAAAATGATCATAATCATTGTAAAAATTCCTAAAAAGTTTTCAAATGAGTTTATTGAATGTTAATTTAAACTTCAAAAATTCATCAACATCAAATTGATGTTTTCAAAACCATATCTATTCCTAGGATGGAGTAGAGATTAACGTAAGGAATGACAAATAGTTTGAAAATAGATAAGTTTCTTTTATTAATAAAAGGTATTTAAAGTTTGTGGTCTGTGATTTGGATAATCTAAATATCATCGTCACCCTCGGCATTTCCGCCGACAGCCGGGGGAGGTGTGACACATTTTCACCCACTGTATATGTCATTTCATTTACAAAATGTCTCTAGTATTTTGTAGACTTTTGATCAAAACACGAGCAAATGGATTTAAAATGAGGCATACTCGATACACAATTGGCGTATTTTATTTAGGTATTTGATTTAGTTTCTAGTAGGCCTAGTTAACCACATCTGATGTGTGTATTAACCATATTATATTAACTTAGCCCTTTTATAATACAATTTTCATTACAACCATATTAGATGTGGATGTACTATATTACCAATTTTCCAGTAGCGTGAGGCAAGTAAGTTAAAAGGATTGAAATCTATTTGAATGTGTACAACTTACTAAATGTATTTCAGTTTATTTGTTAATATTATAAATTTATGATGATATCTACCAACATCAATTATGTAATCGAATTTACAAAATTATACAAAATCAATGATATCGACCAGCTTAATTCATAAAGTTAGACAATTAAGATGCAGAGTGGCATTTCACTGATATATAGGTGGTGTTATAACAATGATAGTAACCTAGACTCAATAACTCTAGCACATTTTTAGGCATTTTTCTGTATTCAAGCTATTAATCTGACAAAAAAAAAAAAAAAAAAAAAACAGTGAGTATTATATTAGTAAATTCCCCATAATGAATTCAAAGAAGGTTGAGGCGCCCTGAAGCATCAACCAGCTGTTGGATGTTATGAGCAGCAGAAGTCAAAGTAGCATGACCTTTACAGAAAGCAAATCTGATATATCTATTATTATGCTTCTCTGAACCTGTATGGAAAAACCCGCATCCAGGAACAGCCACAACTCCAGCTTCTTTTATTAATTCCTCCACAAATTCAACCTGAAAAAGTCCATCCATCATAATTAATCAAAACATAAAAATAACAATATAATAGAATAGAATTAATTATTTCACATACGTCCATAAGTTTGCAAGTATCCGGAAGCGCTGCAAATATGAAAAACGAACCCATTGGCATAAATTCAACCTGAAACCCCACATCTCCAAGCAACTTCAACACAAAATCTCTTTTTCCTTCATAATCCTAACTCCCAACACACCAACTACATTATTGTCAAAAACTAGAAAATAAAAATAAATATAAAAGAATCCTTACTTTTCTCAGTGATTTATAGTACTCTGGTGGACTTTTTAATGCAGTCAACGCAGCTTCCTGAAATGGCGCAGGGGCTGAATCTGTAATTTTCGCATGAATGTTTCTGATTGCAAACGCAATGCAGGATGGACCTATGGCCCACCCCACCCTCCACCCTGTAGTAGTTAGTTGGTCAAACTCAGTCAAACACCCAAAATGATTAAAAGATAAACCCACCCACCAGTGACACTATATGTTTTGGACAAGGAAGACGTGATGATGCTTCTGGTTTGCATTTCTGGTAGTGAGGCCAGGCTTATATGAGGTTTTTCATTCTCATATGTTATATGTTCATACACCTGCACAAAACATTTTCAGACTCTGAATGCAAAAATAAAACGGATTCACATTCATGTATATAATTAATGAAGTTATCATATCATACTTCATCTGTAACGGCTATGCAATCCTTTGTTATGCAATATCCAGCAATCATCTGTAGCTCTTCCATGTTAAAAACTTTTCCAGTTGGGTTGTGAGGACTGTGTGTAAAATTCCAAATTCAAAACTATAAAAATATATATATAAAATTCCAAATTCAGAAACATATAATACACGTACCTATTCAGTACCAGAGCTTTTGTCTTTGCAGTAAAAGCATCTGAAAGTTTGACCTCGTCAACTCTCCAATAAGGTGGCTCCAGGGCTACATACACCTGTTAAGATTCAAGATTCAAGATTCATTCATTCATCATATTTCATATTCACAAATAAATTATAGCACCTGGGAACTTACAGGGACTCCTCCAGCCATTAAAATACATGTTTCATACGTTTCAAAACAGGGATCAAAAAGTATTACTTCATCCCCAGGGTTAAGTACTGCAAAACAAAACATAACATACAAAAAAAAAATATAACTTTTTTTTTTATTTGTGTTTCTGAATGAGTATAAGGGGATTATTGGGAAAGTTGTGAGTAGACATGCTTGCAAACATTGTGGCAGCGAAAGCCTCGGTCTGACCACAGCAAATGGCAATATCTGTTACGGGATCAACATCTAAGCCATGCATTTGCTTCATTTTATCCGCAACCAGATCACATATTCCCTGAACATGCCTTCAATTACAGTTTGCAAAAACAAAATGTCACTTCATAAGTCTGTGTAGATATATGAAAGCTGAAATTACAGTATAAACAAGTGTTGGGATTTGCGTTTAAACAAGAGTTGCAATAACTTGTTTGGAATGTTGGGTAAAAAGTGGTTGTGATTTTAAGACAGAAGAAAACGAGTTAATGAGATAGTTTATTTCACTATCCGCTAATTTTAGGACTATTTTGAACGTTGTGATATCAAACTGAAACAAACTCCCGATTAAGAAAATGATGAATTCGGCCAAAAAACGCATAAAATTAGGGATCCAATTCTGGAACAAGTGGAAGCTAACAGACCTGTATTGGTTAAAATCGGAGGTGATAGCGGAGACGGCGGCGGCCTTGATATTGGGAGGTGCCGGGAAATCAGGGAAGCCTTCGGCGAGGTTAATGGCGTTGCTACGTTCAGCTAGATAAGATAGTTGTTGGATTGGGGAAGGTTTTAGAGTCTTAGCTACCGACGACAGCTTTGCTTCCATGGCATTATCTCATCGCTAAACAACTCACCATGTACTGTATATCAGTAGAAAAAGGGGGTCGTGCAGAGAACAACTACAGTATATCAGTATCAATTGGTAACTTTGACTACTTGACTTTCCTCAACGCTGACAACCACGTAAAAAAATCTTTCAAAATAAATAATTACTTTCATAAACCACATCTTCATGATCCCTACTCTGTTTTCCACTTGGAGAAGCTAGTGCGGATGAGCAGTTACAGACGCGGATACAATTACATGAACAGATTCAGATTCCGACAAAGTTGATGACGAATAGAAGATTTGGCACCACAAATCACAAACTCAAAAACCCAAACCTTGTATGAAATTAATGTGAATAAGAACTAAATAGAAGATTTGGAAAGAATTTACGTGGAGAGGTAAATGACACCGTTACAGTAAAATCCAAGCTTTATTTGACAAACTAGTTTATAACCATTACAATTACAAGGTTATAAAATTAAGTAAAACTTAAAACCGTTAATCAACTATTTCAAATAAATTATTTTAAATCTCTTCTCTTCTCTCTACCTAATAAAAGAGTAGTACATTTACCACATGTCAATCAATTAGAGCTTCACATTAATTATTTGTCACTTATCATTTTAAGGTTTTTCCCCATTAATTAAATTTCCACTAATTCACTTCTTTATTTTACACATATCAAACACATCAATAAAAAATTTATTTGTAATATCTATTGCCTAATTTATTAAATTATTAATTTTTTTTATCATTGCTCTATATTTACCTTATAAGTTAATTAAAATTATTTTTACCTTTATAATCTGTGGTGCCCACGGGTTATAAACTGGTAAATTACTAATTAAAAGATATTTTTTAATTATATAAATTTATAATCGTTAATTTAAATAGATATAAGAAATTATATCACCTTATAATATATATTAATTTTATGTTAATGTTATTAATTTTATTTAATTAGAGTGTGAAATTTGAAATAATGAATCAATTATCAATTATTAATTTATTATAATTAGCATGAGAAATTTAAAATGGAGAATTAATAGGTTGACATGTGACATTTAATATTAATGAGGATTTCTAATATTGTAACACTTGTCAAAAGGAGAATAAACTTATTCACTTATTAAAATATTAAAAATATTAGATGTGAGATTCATATATTATTTAAAATAAAATTTAAATATAAAATTCAAAATATTTGAGAAGTTTGAATTTATAAGAAAAATAAGAAAAATGTTGAATTATAAAAATTAAAGTTTTTATTTTTCTCTTTTCAATTCACACAAATAATTTAGATAAATAAATAAACGAAATTAATGAAACTTTAATTTGATAATTTTAAAATTAGAAGAAAAGTTCATTAATGAAATTGATATGTATTTATGATTAGATTTAAATAATATGTGGAATTTAATAAAATAGAAAAAACCATAAAATGAAATATGAAATAAAAATTAATTTAAAATAACTAAAAAATTACATGTAGCAAAATGAATAAGAATATGACATATCACAAAAAAAAATCTTTATTTATTAGGGATAAAAGAGATCTTATCGATAACATTTTACAAACACTTAACATTTGTTCGTAAAGTTTTAGACTCTATTTTCCTAGAAACTCTTGGGTCCTATTTTGCACAAAAACAACCATCCAAAACCTTTTTCAATTGTTGCTTCAGGCCCTCGTAAACTAAAGATTTGTTATTGGCCCATAATAAATTTTATTATTTATATTATTTCATTATATTTACTATATATTTAATAATCTAATATAATGTATTCTTTTACCAAATGATATTTGACATTATCTAGTTCAGTCAAGGGTTTTTTCTTCCTAAAATACCAATTCTAGAAAAGACATATTACAGTTTTTCTATAATTGATTTGGATTATGTTACACAAGTAAATTTGTTAACAACAAATCACCAATTTCATTAGATAGTAAATAATATTTCGACTTCATTATCGATATCAACAAGAAATCATCGATTTCATCATATTTGAGGGAGGACATTACGACTTCATCATCAATTTAAGAAAAAACCTAGTAAAGTGGAAAAACTAAAGAACATACCTGAAGATGGGGCGACGTCCGGAGATGCGAAGCTGGAGAGCATGATGTAGTGGTGTGTGACGATGGCGGTGTGTGACGGCCAGTGCCGGTTGTCTTGCGAAGTTTGACGAGATGCAATGGAGAAGTTGTAGGCGAGTGCTTGTTGATGGTTGCAAAAAAAGAGAAGAAGGCGACGAGTTTTCAAAGAAATATGTTTTGTTTATATTTTAAAACTCGGGATGTCATAACTGATATATATATATATATATATATATATATATATATATATATATATATATATATATATATATATATATATAACATAAGCATGAATGAAGACTTACAATGTCTCAATATACTAACAGTATACATCTTGAATCTCTCATTGTACATGTATCTTTTATCTTTATATCGTTACCTGTGATACAAAGAAACTGAGTGAGTCAGGTTAGGAAACCTGGTGAGTACATAGGGTTTTCAACCCATGATAATAATTTCAAAATATATAATTCACTCCAAACAATTAACCCGACTACACATTCTCGTTACTCTCTCTCTCTCTCTTTCTCTCTCTCTCTCTCTCTCTCTCTATATATATATATATATATATATATATATATATATATATATATATATATCAAATCCGATAGAATATATCTCAAGGGTTATATACTAAGGATTGTTGTAAGCAACGAGTATAAAAGTATTGCTTAAGGAATTTCTTAGCATTACGTGTCGGTAAGGTGACCATGGGAAAATAGAGTACTCAAATGAACCTATAATCCATATTCTCAGTTTGTGTGATTCATTAACACCTACAAATTGCAAGTCTGCTAGTATTCCACTGGACTGTCTAGAATAGTTCGTGGTCATCATCAATACTCTGCTTGATGATTGGTCTCTGTTGGGCCTAGTCTCTTGCCCTATCTCTGGCATGTTTCTCACCATTATTCTATCTCATGGTTTCTCACAATTATTTTATCTCTTGGTATGGCTTCTCACTTTATTCTATCTTTGGTATGATTTCTCACCATTATTCTATCTCTTGGTATGGTTTCTCATCGTTATTTTATCTCTTGTATGGTTTCTTACCATTACATCTTTTCCTATAGTCTCTAACTATCATCTCATTTCTCTTATAACTTTCTACCCATCCTACCCCATATATTATGAGTACGGTAAAATACACATGTATATATATATATATATATATATATATATATATATATATATATATATAATATTTTAGGAAAAATCATTATCTCATGTAACACAAAGATTAGGATCTCAGATAATTAGCACATATAGCATTCAGGCAAATTAAATATTTGATATCTATGTGTAAGTTGGTGGTAACTATGCACTCACTAGATAAAAGTGACTGACGATTTTGGCAACGCTTCGCTTCGTACTTTGAAAAGACCTAGATGCATAAAGTGATGAATTTTATAGGTTATAATTGAATCATGTGGAAGAAAAACTTAACCCTTAAGTTAAGATGTGACCTATTTGGTTCTAAGTTTTATATGTTGACAACAACAAACAATTGAACATCAAGAATCCTAAGGAGACCCTACTATAATCAAAATTACAAGGGATTAGGGTTTACATACCTTTTAATTATTGTAGTAAATAATCACATAATTCCTTCCTTTTAATTCTTCTTGGAAAGCTAGCACCAAAAATCTCATGCATATGATGGTTTGTACCCAAACCCTATCAATAGAACACTTGAGATGAGAGAGGATGGGAAATTTAGTTGTCCTTGAAGGAGTATGAATGGCCAAAAATATATGATGCCAAAAGACTCTATTTATAACTAATAGAAAACCTAGAAATCCTAATTTAAAATAAAACAATATTATTTCAAATATAGAATTATCTAGTTTCCTAATTATCCATATCTTCCTAGTCTAATAAATAAAAAAATTTATTCTCCTATTGATAAGTGTCACAATATTAGAAATCATCATTAATATTATATATCATATGTCAACCTATTAATTTTTCATTTTAAATTTTAAATTTTTAAGTTTCTCACTCTAATTACATTAAATTAATAATTGATTATTCATTTCAAATTTTAAATTTTAAATATCACACTCTAATTACATTAAATTAATACCATTAGAATTAAAAAATAAAATAAATAAATATATATTATAAGGTAATATAATTTCATGTATTTATTTAAATCAACGATTATAAATTTATATAACTAAAAAAAATATTTTAATTAATAATTTATATAAAATAATTTATTTGAAATAATTATTAATAATTTTAATTTTTACTATAAAAGTTTAATTAATTTTATAATCGTGGTTCTCACGATTTATAAACTAGTTATTCATATGAAATAATCTAGAAACCCTAAGAGGCTCCAAAATTCGTTCAACCCTAAGAATCTTCTAGAATTCCTCTCTTGTTCAACTATTAAACAATTACAACTTCAGTCATTGCAATTTTAATTAATTCTAATTAATTTTTGGCTAATTACTAATTAAATAATACTATTTCTAATTACTATATTAATTTCATAATATATTAATAAATTATTTATTTATATTTATTAATCATATAATAAACCAATAAACCAACCTTTATTTCCAAAAGTCATTATGTTAATTTTTAGTTTTGAGGGCAACTCAAAATTGACCTTGTAACATCCGTGACTTGAGGTAATGCTAAATTATTTAATCTTGTAATTAATTATTGGACTATGAGATTAATGTTGGATCATTGAGTTGGGCCTTTATTATGTTGGGCTGACTGAAGCCGTACACTGAGCGTAAGCTTAGCGTACGCAGGACGTAGTGGGAGCATTGTATACGTGGGATTAAGCACGTACGCAACGTACGCGAGCTGACTCAAAACCCTAATTTTTAGGGTTTAAGCCATATATATGCATTAGTATGTCCCAACCCCCAACCTCCTTACTAGCTTCCTTAACTCAGAAACCCTGGAAACCTAACTTTCATCATCTTTGTGTGATCTTGATCTTGTAAAGTCCATTTTAGTAGCTTGGAGCTTGGAAGGAGAAAGTGGAAGTTGGTAAAGAAGAATCTGTGTAGCTTGAGCTTAAGGATCCGAGACATAATCATGGAACTGGGCCTTTCATGTTAAGGATTTGGGCCTAGGTCATGGACTAGATTAGATCATGGGTAAAATGGTTATTTTACCCTAAGAAGGATTATTGGGTTTTGACTAAGTGTTATTTTGTACTAATAGCCCGGGGAGTCGTCAGAGCAGCCACTAGAGATCTCTTACTGTGAGATTTTACATTCAACTTTGTGAGGTGAGTTTCCTCCTGGATTGAACGGGTCGAAGGCACCAATTTCGGCTCGTGTATGCTATGTGTGTTGATTAGTAGCTAAGTGTGGGCAAGGCCCGTATCTTAGCATTATTTGAGTATGGATGTGAATGGATTGGTAAATTTGGTTATACTTGTTGTATGTGTGATACTTGTATGTGTTTCTTAGTTAGCTGAGTATGGGCGGGGCTCGAATCTCCTAGTTAGTCGAGTATGGGCGAGGTCCGTATCTCCTAGATAGCTGAGTGTAGGCGAGGCCTGTATCTCACTAAGCGTAGGCGGGGCCTGGATTGTATAGGGTGGGGCCTATTAGCCAGGTGTGGGCGAGGCCCGTATCTCCTTGAGCATGGTCGGGGATAATATCTCCTAGCTGTTGGCTCCGAGGTAGTTTCTCCTGCGGTGATCATCATAATTCGTCCATCTGCACCTAATTTATTTGTTATTGAGCACCCCCTCTTGTAGTGCCCTATCTCACCACAATCATAACAGGCCTGGTTTATTTATACTCTAGGGACTTGGGAGATCGGTTGTGTCGGCGCCCTGCAGAAACGGGCAGTGTGCCCTTTCCTGGAGCAATTCAAGCACTGCATTTCCCGACATACTCTGGTATGGTGGTAGTTACACTCACCAGAGTTCCAACATATCGACTGACATATGCTGGAGTGGCAGGTGTTATGGCGGCGTATACAATAACCATTTGTTGCTCCTGCGGGGGTTCATGTGTTGTTCGCTCCTTCCTCTTTTTCCCCAACTTTCGTTTATAGTCTCCTCCCTTTGATGGCTCGAGAATGGGGACCACCACACCATGGTGGACTCCATGGTCAATGATTCGCTGGGCCAAACGTTTCGCGCTATCAGAGGTTGTTGGGTTAGAATACAGTGCATCCCCCTTAATCGGGGTAGATAACCCCTAGATGTACTTTTCTATCTTCGTATTATCCGGGCAAACCATCCTGGGGCATAGTGTTGCCAGGTCGTTATACTTGTTAGTGTATGTCGTTATGTCTGAGCTGAACATGGTATGCTCCCATATCTCTTGTTCCATCTTTTGAAATTCGCTCCTTGGGCAATATTCTTCCAACATCATCTCTTTTAGGTTCTCACAACTTATCGAGTTAGCCACTTATAGGGTTAGTGATGTAACATGGCTATTCCACCATGTTAGGGATCTGTCGGAGAAGGTGCAGGCAACAAACTTCACTTTGCTCCCTTCTGGGCACAAACAGATTTCGAAGACCGAATCTCTTTTCTCGAACCTTCACATCAGAGTAATGAATCCCCCATTTACATTAAAGGATTTGTGTTTGCAGTTCATAAAGTCCTTATACGAACACTCCTGTGGGTAACTCCGGGGTTAGTTAAGTGGGTACCGCTACCAGATGCACCGGTACTACTTGCGCGAATGTGAGTTATAGCAGTTGTTACTGCGGCTGTTATCGCTGCTTGGAGAGCAGCAAGATCGAATTGTGGTGGTGGATTCTCTATTGTGCTATTGGCCACGTGCCTTAAAGGTCTACCGCAAGGCATCTTTTGCTAAAACGAATACAAAGATGAGACAAAAATAAGTCTATAACAGTGGTTATAAGTCGAAAGTTGAACGACTAAGTTATCCTAGTTCTGAGTGTATCTAGTTCTGACTTTCATAGGGTTCTGGAAACAATTCATAAAGGGAGTCTATATAAAATAAACTTTATGAATCAGAAGTGGCTATCCTCGAATGAATCTCTATGAATTGAATATTCGTTACTAGT